TAGGTATTTTATCCAAATGCTGCGCGCCTTATAAAGTTAAACAGCTGTAAAGTTTTATGGGTCGATATGACCTCTTAACACACAGAAATCACTTTTTTTTTTTTTTTTTTTTTTTTTTTTTTGAGATATATACAAGAGTTGCTACATTCTTGTACAGCCACTAGTACGCGTAGCGTTTCGGGCAAGTCCTTAATCCTAAGGGTCCCTGGAATACGATCCCCTGCCGCGAAGAATCGTTTTTTCATCCAAGTACACATTTTACTGTTGCGTTAAACAGAGGCTACAGTTAAGGAATTGCGCCCAGTAAATCCTCCCCGGCCAGGATACGAACCCATGACATAGCGCTCGCTATGTCTGTATACGCTATATGTCACGCTATATGTATACAATAGCGTGATGCATCAAATGAACAAATCCACAAGGGTGGATTGTGGCCATGTCGTAGCTCAGTCGATTAAGGCAGCGTCTGGGATGCTCTCGGACGTAGGTTCGAATCCTCGTCACGGCCCTTGTGGATTTGTTCATGACCTCTTAACTTATTAAACCTCTGTAAAACTGGGCTAACCTACATAGAATGACGTTTTCCTGGTTGATGGGGTTCTGGGAGTTCTTCTACTCCCCAAGCCCGGCCCGAGGCCAGGCTTGACTTGTGAGAGCTTGGTCTACCAGGCTGTTGCTTGTTTAAATAATTGAATACAAAAAATAATCAGACGTTGCATCCTTGGATATTTTCAGATACAGAAGTTCAGTAACGGATAAGAGGAGCTGTGACGAAGCCCCGATCAAATAAAACACATAATATCATTACTCAAATATGTGTCCTTTTTTACATATTAAAAGTTGTTTTAATGGTCATGTTTTACTTAAGCGCGCATTAGGCTACTGTTAATTTTCTATGTTTGGCATGTCAAAAAAAAAAGTTGACTTTGTGTAGTGCATAAATATTTATGCTGTTTGGCATCATGTAACCTACGTGGGAGAGCTGACCAAACTGAAGCCGTGGCTCTTTACTGGAGTTTTGGTAGATTTTGAAAAAAAAAATTGAGAAATATTGCTTAAGCATTAAGATTCTGATTTACCAGTCTCCGTGGTGCAGTGGTAAGACACTCTCCTGGCGTTCCGCGAGCGCTCTGTCATGGGTTCGTATCCTGGCCGGGGAGGATTTACTGGGCGCAAATCCTTAACTGTAGCCTCTGTTTAACGCAACAGTAAAATGTGTACTTGGTTGTAACAACGATTCTTCGCGGCGGGGATCGTATTCCAGGGACCTGCCCGAAACGCTACGCGTACTAGTGGCTGTACAAGAATGTAACAACTCTTGTATATATCTCAAAAAAAAAAATTCTTTGGGGGGAGGTGGGGGTGTTTCTAGCGTGTCTAACTACCGTATATTTAAGATTAGTTACCAAAATACTTTCTTAGTTAGAACTAGTTACATGACCTTCCAGTTAGGAGTCGGTTAGTTACCTTACTATTGATGTGGTTAACGAGTGGACAATAGTTAGCATAAATGCGTTAAAACTAATGTGGGGGAAAGTTTCAGTTGCAAGTGAAGTGCCTCAAGATTGTTGTCTCTTGCAACAGGTTCCTCACAAGATACCTCACAAGATCTTGATACAGGCATCAACAGCAAACATACTTGCTGACGGTACTAAAATAGTACACGGTTAGCAATTCGGACGGGTACTCTGGGTAGCAACCCGTTCTCGCAAATTCGTAAAGTCAATATTGACTTATTAACTACGTGCATAGGTGATATACTAAACATAATAGATACCCCTAAAAAGATTCATAGAAAACACCGACCTTACCTAACCTTGTTAGTAAATTAAGATAAGCATCTTATTGCTTCGTAATTACAATTATTACTTAACCTATACCTATTATAGGTTAGGTAATAATTGTAATTACGAAGCAATAAGACGCTTATCTTAAGATACTAACAAGGTTAGGTAAGGTCGGTGTTTTCGATGAATCTTTTTAAGGGTATCTATTATGTTAAGTATGTCACCTATGCACATATTTAATAAGTCAATATTGACTTATTAAATTTGCGAGAACGGGTTGCTGGGTAGCTATCGGAGTGTCGTAATAGGCTGTAGACTTGAGTATGGAAGCTGCAAATGTGGCCTAACATAAATCTATAAACTTTTGAGTTTGGAAATAGAAAATGACACGGTATACCAGAGATATTTTGAGTAGGATTTTTTGTTTGTTGATTCCCGTTAGCCTGAGTCATCACACCTGAGGTTCACTATATACATCTCAGGTTCACTATATACATCTCAGGTTCACTATATACATCTCAGGTTCACTATATACATATCAGGTTCACTATATACATCTCAGGTTCATTATATACATCTCAGGTTCACTATATACATCTCAGGTTCACTATATACATCTCAGGTTCACTATATACATCTCAGGTTCACTATATACATCTCAGGTTCACTATATACATCTCAGGTTCACTATATACATCTCAGGTTCACTATATACATCTCAGGTTCACTATATACATCTCAGGTTCACTATATACATCTCAGGTTCACTATATACATCTCAGGTTCACTATATACATCTCAGGTTCACTATATACATCTCAGGTTCACTATATACATATCAGGTTCACTATATACATATCAGGTTCACTATATACATCTCAGGTTCACTATATACATCTCAGGTTCACTATATACATCTCAGGTTCACTATATACATCTCAGGTTCACTATATACATCTCAGGTTCACTATATACATCTCAGGTTCACTATATACATCTCAGGTTCACTATATACATCTCAGGTTCACTATATACATCTCAGGTTCACTATATACATCTCAGGTTCACTATATACATCTCAGGTTCACTATATACATCTCAGGTTCACTATATACATCTCAGGTTCACCGTATACATCTCAGGTTCACTATATACATCTCAGGTTCACCGTATACATCTCAGGTTCACTATATACATCTCAGGTTCACTATATACATCTCAGGTTCACTATATACATCTCAGGTTCACCATATACATCTCAGGTTCACTATATACATCTCAGGTTCACTATATACATCTCAGGTTCACTATATACATCTCAGGTTCACTATATACATCTCAGGTTCACTATATACATCTCAGGTTCACTATATACATCTCAGGTTCGCCATATACATCTCAGGTTCACCATATACATCTCAGGTTCACAACGGATAGTTTAACTTGTATCATGACTACTAGGCTTTTATATTAACCCTGACTCATTTTGGAAGCTGATTACTAATGTTAATATCTCGCGTGAATGGCTGTTTCTCCACCATTGTGTAGAGTACACGTGTAGCATGCCGCGACTTAGCCTGGGCACGTAACAGGAGCTACACGTGGAGCACTAGTCACAAATGGTCTCTCACCTCCGGCAGCAAACACACACACACATGCTCCATACGTTTATTTCTGCTTTAAATACACACACACACACACACACACACACACACACACTCACACACGTTTAGATCCGTGGCCACGCTCACCAACCAGGCTTCCCGGCAAAGTTATATATATATATGTATATATATATATATGTGTGTAAACAAATTGAATCGGGTGTAGGGTTAGTGGGAGGGGCGGGTGCGAGTGAATGCAAGTGACGGCGCCGGAATGTGGCAAGCACTCCACCAGTCAATACGTGAGGCGTAGTAACCCCCTAACCTGCGCCCCTCTCTGGCCCCCTTAGTCTCCCCCTCTCCCCTGTTCCCCTTGGACCCCCTTTGCCCCCCCGGCCGCCCCCCTCCCGTGCAAACTAGGGTTCTCCCCCAACACGTGTGCTCGTCTCTGCGTGTGCTCATTAACCTAACACGTGATGCGGTGTGTCAGGAATGGCACTTCTGAGAGTGCACTTTGAGTGCCAATCGTTATCTTGTGTCCTCGTGAAGTACAATCAGGGACGGTGCACCTCGTGTGTGGTGCCAAGGTTTGGCAGTTTTCATGCGTGACGTGCTTGATGTGATACTTAGTGTCGCATTCTTAGTGGGTTTAGCCTCCTTAGGTGTGGTACTTCGTGTTTGACAGCCACAAGGCATCAGAGGTTCTTGGGGTAGAGTCTGACGCATGAGTATGCTTATGGCGGTTAACTCAGGCCTGTTGTAATAACTTACGGGCTTCAATGCGTAGACCGCAAGTGTTATATTCAATTAAAAACACTAGACAGCGGTATGAATTCGCTTTATAATGTGTGGTAAAATATATACAACATAAGATAAAAAAGTTTAGTCATTATATATATAACATCTTATCACATTATTAACAACGATAACTGGTAGATAAACTGCCCGTACCTGGATAGGGTTTAGAGTTCTATGCACCTGGATGAGGTTCTACTCCCTCAAGTCCGACCTGTCTGACTGTGAGAGTTTGGTCCAACAGGCTGTTGCTTAGAGCAGCTTTTCTGGCCCTCATATCCACCACAGCTCGGTTGGTCCAGCACTTCTTGCAAAAAGCTGTCCAGAGTTAACTTAGAACTATGTTTAACGAACATTAAGCTATGATGTAGGTGTAAGGATGAGTGGTAATGGTGGTAGTGGTGGTGGTGGGGAGGTGGCTAGTGGTGGTAGTGGTGGTGGTGGGGAGGTGGGTGAGGATATTGGGTGCACCACTAGAGAACCTCCTGGCCTAGACCTCACCCTACTTATAGAGGTTATGGAGACACTGTGACAGCTGTTGGCTATGGCTGTGACATTTGAGGCACCTAACACTAACCTATAATACAATTATGGCATAGAACGTTGGCTATGTATATATCTATAGCTTTTAATGGACCTTTGCTGTTATAATGAATCAGAAAACAGAGAGAGGAAATTACACCGTTTAATTTTTGATGTATTTGTTTCTGTATGTATTTATGATCAGTTTTTGTGATAATTACGCAAGTGCTTGCTGTGTACTGCAAAGTTATTGTGGACTGGTGGTATTAACGTGAGGTGTTACGTTGGACAGGTTACCCCGGTCTGCCGGTGAGTGCCGCAGCCGTCGTGGCCGCAGCGGCGGCCCAACAGCAAGCGCAAGCCAACAGTCAGAGTCAACAGGGGTCGTCGCAGGGCCCCGGTGGGCCCCGAACCACCTCCCCTGAGGGCCCCAACTCCTCCACCAACGGGCCGTCGCCAATGGCGGCCCTCCAAAGTGTGACTGACAACCTTCCGCCTGGCTCCCCCCACAGCCATGCTTCCGCCTCCCCGCAACAGCGGTCAGCATCCAGGAACTCATCCCAGTTGTCTCCATCCTCAGGTAGATATACCTCACACCTTCACTCACTGTTTTACGGGGCTCACCATAGCCCGTGCTACATGGACACTTCGTTCTGAGTAGCTAAATCTAAACAACAACAACGCTAATTGTTATTACGGGCTATTCATGCCAGTGCCATTTTTTGGGTTGCTTAATCTTTATCAATCAATCACTGTTATTACGGGCTATTCATGCCCGAGCCATCTTTTGGGTGGCTTAATCTTTATCAATCAATCACTGTTATTACGGGCTATTCATGCCCGAGCCATCTTTTGGGTTGCTTAATCTTTATCAATCAATCACTGTTATTACGGGCTATTCATGCCCGAGCCATCTTTTGGGTGGCTTAATCTTTATCAATCAATCACTGTTATTACGGGCTATTCATGCCCGAGCCATCTTTTAGGTGGCTTAATCTTTATCAATCAATCAATCACTCACTGTTATTACGGGCTATTCATGCCCGTGCCATCTTTCGGGTGGCTTAATCTTTATCAATCAATCAGTCACTGTTAGGGGTTCACATGTGTGTGTCATGTCAGTTGTATACATTCGGGAGTACATGATTTATTTGAGTATCTGCTGTTTAGTTTTTTCTGAATGGGGTCATGGGGGGTGTAATATGTGTGAATGTGTACATCGGTGTCAGTGTCGTGAATGGTACTTGATGTGTACATATCATATTCTTGAACTGAAGGTGTGTATAGGGTATATCAGCATGACTTTTTGAATGTGCACTGCCTATAGTTATAGGCTGTGCTATATTTTTCACAATATATCTTCAATATTTTCTCTCAATGTGAGTGTGGCTCTGTATGCTATACATAACTTGAATTCCGAAATAATATGTTTGTTTGGTCTAGGTTTGAGTGCTTTGTATTCAAGGCTACTTGTTGGACACTTCTGAAATGCTAAGATATTTCCCCAACTTAATAATAAGTTAAAGTTAAGAAGCGTTGGTAATCTTATGAAAATTTTGTAAGTTTTAGAATATTGTGTTGGCGGTTCAGATTTCGTATTATATTTCCTGAAGTTTTATAGTTAAAGCAGTGTTGATAATCTTCTGAAGTTTACACATTTAGAACACTGCATTAAGGAAGTGTTGTAACAAGTGGCCACACAATATAGTGGTGGGAACATTGAGGCTAATTTAAAGCTATATTTCTTGGCATTCCAGGAGAACCCAGGAGGAGATCCTCAGGCGGCAGGCATGGAGACTCGAGTGGGGACAGCAGCCCTGGTGCCCAGGGCAGCGGGGCGGGCAATGGCAGTAGCGGCAGCGATGCCCCACAGCCCAGCAATAACCTCAAGTGCACGATATGTACTGAGCGGCTGGAGGACACCCACTTCGTGCAGTGCCCCTCCGTCCTTCACCACAAGTTCTGCTTCCCCTGCTCCAGAGAGTCCATCAAGCGACAGGGCGCCGGCACTGAGGTCTCTCTCCCATTCTCTTCGTTGTCCTACTTCTCTCCTCAAATTTTCTTTGCTTCTCTTCTTCAATCAGTGCTATATAGTCTTAATGGCTTGGCGCTTTCACCCCCTGATAATTCAATTAAATTATCCCCTTCTTCAAATTACTACTCTATAAAGTCACATTTGTTCGTTTGCTCTTTTCACCGTGGAATATATCTATGCTCTATATCACACCAATTTAATAGAATACTGTAGCTATAATGTCACTCTTGGATTGTGTAGCAGTACAGTACAATAATGTGATTCAATACATAATATATGCCGTATTTCTGCATAATAATTAATAATCTAATGATGTGTTATCTGGTCTCTTTTTAGGTGTATTGCCCCAGCGGCGAGCGGTGTCCCCTGGCCGGGTCGTCGGTGCCGTGGGCGTTCATGCAGGGGGAGATCGCCACCATCCTCGGCACTGCCAACATCCTGCCCCAACACTCGCAGGATGAACCCAAGACCAAGAAGGAGCGCGACACATAGGCTGCGCCGTGGCGAGGTTCCTCTGGTTTTAGTTACAAGGTTACCAGCGACGCTTAGCTGGTGACTTTTGTCGGCGTCGACCGCTACCTGCGCGTTGGGCGTGGTGACGCTGAACTAGCGTGTCCATATGGTGCTGGATCCGGTCCTTGCTGTGGACTCTGCCCGTTAGTGGTGGTGGTGGCAGCGGCCGGGGCTCCCACGGCGCCTCGAGGCCACACCACCAGCCGTGTTGGGTGTCGCCATCTGGGGGATGCGACCAGGGTTGAGAGGGCAGAGTCAGCTAGTCCAGGGAGTTCTACACTAGTGACTGTTAGCCAATTATACGGACATTGAGTGTGTCAGTGAATTGGTTCATTCCTCTGGGGGTGGCCAAAAATCCTGCCTTCATATGGAGTGATGAGAGTAATTTGTTGACCCGTCGTGGCAGGACAGTGGGACAACTCAACGTGAAAATAATCACAATTGAAGGATTAAATGTAGAGGTTACCAGAGCATGTGGAATTTTGTTTGCAGGAAAACCCCTTGAAGCTGAGAGCACCTTAGGTGCGGTGCAGGTGCCCCAGGGGGAATTCGTCCCAGGGAGTGAGGGGAAACTTGTGATGTCCTGGGTCATCAATGGCTGCCTCTTCTGAGGGCATTGACCTCAAACTGTCATCAGCTTCATGCTGTCGTCAGTCTCAAAATACATTTGACTTCAAGATAATGTTGTCAGGATATTGACCTCAGGCTCTGTTGTCAGCCTCAAGCTGTCAGATTATGTCGACACCAAACTGACATTGACCTCAAACTTGTCGACTTTTTAAGAATGTCGTCCCACTTTCGGTCCATATATTCTTGTGCTGATTTCTTCACAAGTTTTACCTTCAGAGTTGAGCAGATTTGTTATTGTAATCTCTTAGGCTGTACATATATGTGTACAATCAACACTTGCACACACACACACACACACACACACACACACACACACACACACACACACACACTCACACTCACACTCACTCACTCACACTGCACATGCGCACACACACACACACACACACACACACACACACACACACACACACACACACACACACACACACACACACACACACACACACACACAGACACGCACACGCACGCACGCACGCACAACACTCCATACTTCTCACACACACTGCTCCAAGACCGTGTGATGTTCGCAATGACCAAAGGCTTACCTTGTATATTGATTGATAGGAATATATTACTTTAGTGTAATGTGATAACGCACTTAGCCTACTAGTCATTTATGATACTGGGTAATTTTGGTACAGTATCACAATTTGGAACTCCGTACTCGCTTTTGTAGATTTATAAATGTTCCAAATATTCTCTCTACTTGAATCTGTCAAATCTTCTCCATCAGACTAACACCGGCAATTATTTAAAACCAAAATCAACTGCAATTAACACGCAAATCAACTTCCTTCTTGTATGCGACAACCCCGAGAGAATAGCATCACATTATTGTCCAGTTTTCCGTTTTTTTTTTATATACACAGTATAATTTTTGTTTCCCCTCCTCGCCAGAGATTTAGAATGTAGCAGTTATAAGTGTGTGTGTGTGTGTGTGTCTGTCTCTGTATGCTGATATCCTATATGCTGGGCTCGACCTTGCGATGGGCTGGTGGCTAAGAAGGGCTGGTAGCAACCTTATTGCGTAGCATATTTCTGTGTATAGAATCATGTGGACCGACCGTGTTTCGGCTGTGCCTTTTCACGTCTCAGGCTGTCCCAATAAATCCCACAAGCTGTTACCCACATCTTAGGCTTCCTCTTTCGATCCCAGAATGTGTCTTTTAACATCTCAAGATGGCCTTCGGAATCTTAGGGTGTGTCTCACATCTCTGGCTGTTTTTTTTTTTTTTTTTAGCTGAGAATTTGTCCCTCGTGCCAAGCCTGACGTGCTTGCTCACAGCCACCACTCTTTATAATTATATATAATTGTATATAATATATACAATTTTGTTCTTGGAATTCATGTTATGTGATAAATGGCGATAATTTTTGGGTACCTAAGTCGGGACAAATTTGATTTCTGTGAAGAATTTTGATCATGTTGTATGAGGTGTCAGGCTGACGTCTTGGGAGCCTTGTGATGTGGGTAGTCTGAATAACATGTGATTAGCCTTATTTATTTGTGGGTGCACACACCGACAATTAGGTAGTGTGCCTAGAAGGCAGTCGTGCACGGCGGTAGTCTGATGTGCTGGTAAACAACCGACAAATGCATGGTCCGTTTCGTGAGCATTCTAACTGCTCTCTTGGTAGTTTAATGGGTAATCTGGATTTGTGGGTTATGCGTGTGTCTTGTACACAGTCCTTATCAGAAGACTTGGTGCAACCGGGGTAATCTGTAGATATGGGACTTGTCCAGCTATCGTGCGGGGAATGTAACCATCCTGTGAATAGTTTGTTCACTGATGGGTGGATATTGTAGTTACCATAGTAGCTGACCATCAAATGGCAAATCCGGACTGTCTTAAAGTTATCGAAGTTGACATTGCAGCCTGCCTGCTATAGGCATCCTTGACAGCTTCAAGAGATTCTTCGAGTGATAGATGTCCTTGGAGATGGGGAGGCTGGGTGTTTATTGCCAAATAGATTTGAAGTTGCTACATTAAAGCCCAAGCCCGAGCTCCAGCGTGGGGTCATTCAGCTCCCATGAGCTCCTGAGGGAGGGGGGAGTGCTGCTACTGATGGGGGGGGGGGGCGAGAGGGATCTACCTCATAGAATTCTACCCAGTTGGACAAATATCAACCTGGGGGGGAGGGTTTTTTGTATTCAATCTTAATAAACGAGTAGCTTATGTTTGATATTTAAGGGGGTGGAAAAAAAAACTTTATTTCTTATGCAATCTTGAATGCCTTGGTACTGTTTACGGCACATTCCCAGTGATATGCATAAGAGTTACTGTTTCGGGGGCTGGCTACTCGACAATTTCATTTTTTTGGTCTCATTGCCTTGGTTTTAAGAGGTTTTTTGCCGTCCACGTAGCAGCACTCCTCCTTGTCCACGCCCGTTAGCGTCCAGTACTTTCTGTCTCTCATCATTCCCACAACATGTAGTGTGCTACACACAACCAGTCCCATGGAGAAACACTGCTGGCTCGGTGTCCTACGCTGCTTTAGTGTCCCTGAAGTTGCTTATCTGTGTCCTCTATTCTCCCGCTAGTTTTCAAACGCTACTCATGACCCCTTTTTAACCAAATTCATCATCACTTCCTTATCTGTCATATCTCTCTGGCTCTTTATCATCATCCACATGTCTGCGCTTATCATGTCTCGCTTTTACTCATCAATGCTCCAAGCTTCTGTCAGTGTAATGAATCTGACACTGTGTCACAGCCCAGCGTGGTCATGGCCCCATGTATCCTCATGCTTGGAGACACAGCCACATACAGATTTCGTTATTGTTATGTTTTAACAGCAGAAAAGGCCTATTATTTGTTGTTCATGTTCACGAGAAAAGAATGTTATGTGGATGGTTGTTCCATCACCAGGCTCCGGCTGTATCCTTGTGTCAGAATCCTTTGCTAATCTTTCGTTCTCTATTTTGCCTAACGGCATTTTGTTGTAAGTATTAATGCTACTGGTGTTACTACTTTACTCTTTCCAAGGTACAAATGATGTAGCTCTTGACGTATTTTTGTAGAAGGGCTTTGTAAAATAAATGACCATCGGGAGGGTTGAAAAGGAATAACCTAATACCTTCTGGCATTAAAAAAAAATATATATTGTCCATTACTTGTTGAAATTGTGCAAATGCCCTGCTTTGTTTATGAGTTGGCGTCCAGTTGAGAGAAAATGGCGGATAAGTTTTGGACACGTGTTCACGATGGTTTCTTTAGCATTAAGCTCTTGGGTCCAGGCTGCGTCAGTGATTAGTCCCCCTGCAGGTTGTCTTAAATTATTTTGTAATCTACAGAACCCCCAAACTTGTGAACTGTACAATTCGCAGCCCTCTGAACCTTGCCTGTGATCAACCAGGCTTGTGGTCCTTCATCGATACACATGTGACTAGTAGAAAAGCGGCCTGCAGGACTGCTAATTTGTGAGATTCAGCTCGTGTGTAAGACTGTAGGGGGGGTATATGGCCTATAGGACCTAATGCTACATGCAGATCTGCACTTATAATCTGTTGACGTAATTCATTTCATATTGTTGGGCCTATTGAGATAAAGTATTTATTTTGAAAATATCGGCATCTCTGAATCCCCAAAGTGGTGTTGAGATACCCCCAGAGTCCAGCATAAATTAATTAAAATAAACTAGTCCCACAAATTTCACTCTTGACCCCCAAAACTGCCGTTCAAAGTCTCTCATTTTGTGTTTAGCATGTATAGCAATATGTCCTAAAGGCCTGAAATTCCCTCGTGTATTGCAGCCTAAAAAAGGCCCCCAAGGTGCGGTACGAAAAGGTAGCTGTGACGTCATAGACAAAGGAGACAGAGTGGGCCTCTGGTCCGCCAGAGATGCTCCCCGCGGGACACATCGACATAAGCTGTACAGTACTTTAGGCTGCCCGTTAATATATGGCATCATACATATTGGTTTATGTATGGTTTGATGTACCTGCTTTTAAGATATATATATATATATATATATATATATATATATATATATATATATATATATATATATATATATATAAATATAAATATATATAAATATATATATATATATATAAATATATATATATATATATATATATATATATATATATATATATATATAAATTATATATATATATATATATATATATATATATATATATATATATATATAAATATATATATATATATATATATATATATATATATATATATATATATATATATATATATATATATACATATACACAAATAGTTGCCTTTGGGCAACTTTTAATACCTGTTCATATGGATGTTGTTGGTCTCTTATTATTGTAAAGGGTTTACAGTGAACACATGCATAGTATAATTATATGAGATTATATTACCTGCCACAACTATTATCACTGCTGTTCTGATGAATGTTATTTCCCCCCCCCCCCTTTGTATAAATCCGGTCACAACCCTGTGGTGAGAAGTGTGCCATACCCCTGGTGCGAGCAACAGTGCTGTAATAAACTATTGACAACCTCAGGTGTTCTTGTCATTTCAAACCTAACCTAACCTAACCTACTTCAGCACTGGATTACTTGACTTTACAGCCTTCAAACACGTGGTGGTGGTGGTGTTCCTTGCTCTCCCAAGGGAGCCGAGCGGACAGCACGCTGGACTTGTGATCCTGTGGTCCTGGGTTCGATCCCAGGCGCCGGCGAGAAACAATGGGCAGAGTTTCTTTCACCCTATGCCCCTGTTACCTAGCAGTAAAATAGGTACCTGGGTGTTAGTCAGCTGTCACGGGCTGCTTCCTGGGGGTGGAGGCCTGGTCGAGGACCGGGCCGCGGGGTCACTAAAAATCCCCGAAATCATCTCAAGATAACCCATCCCAGCTGTGTCTGGGTACAAGTGACAGGATGAACAACCCAGCGGGTTTTCTTCCTATTGGGGAGTGTTGTACATGCTGAGCTGCCCGATAAACTCGCCCCTCGGGGCAAAATTTAAAAAAAAAAATTTTGCTCTCCCAGCGAGCATAGGAAATATTACCGGAACAACCGTGGACATCTTCAAGAGGGAAACTAGATTGTTTCCTCCAAGGAGTGCCGGACCAACCGGGCTGTGGTGGGTATGTGGGCCTGCGGGGCCGCTCCAAGCAACAGCTTAGTGGACCAAACTCTCACAAAATATATAATATTTTGTATGTCATTTTATTTTGCTTAAAACTTCATTACATAAAAAGTGTTTCAACATTGGTTACATGTAAGGTACAAGGCTACTTGTCACAGATTGTCGAGTCCCTTCAGCTCGTCAGATGGCGGGTAGGAACCATGGATGCAGTGTTTCCTCTCTGTACTGCCACGCTAAGACGCTGAAAGAGGAAATAAGGCAGAATAAAGAGAAAGAACCGTTGTAATTGTTGAAGAATGAAGACTGGTGATATATGTGTGTCTTTAAAGAACATCTGGTGATGAAAAGCAAAAAAAATCACGTCTCATTTTCTAGTTTATTAATATGCAGCTCCCTTAGTCTTTCTTTATATTCTAGTGCTTTCAGTTCTGGAACCAGTCTTGTAGTATGTGACTGGACTTTCGGACTTTCCTTTCGTCTTGTACACAGTATATTAAGACTGTGCCTCCACATCGGGGTCGCGTTATAGCTAACTGAGCACCACCTTGCCCACAGCCCCAAAAGCATGGGCACTATTTGCGTGATCTTTTTTACGGGCTCACCATAGCCCGTGCTACTTGGGCACTTCGTTCTGAGTAGCTAAATCTATAACATGCGTGATCAAGGCAAACATGGCCACTATAGCCTTGATAGAGGCAAACAACAACACGGGCGCATGCGTGATCAAGGCAAACATGGCCACTATAGCCTTGATAGAGGCAAACAACAACACGGGCACATGCGTGATCAAGGCAAACATGGCCACTATAGCCTTGATAGAGGCAAACAACAACACGGGCGCATGCGTGATCAAGGCAAACATGGCCACTATAGCCTTGATAGAGGCAAACAACAACATGGGCACATGCGTGATCAAGGCAAACATGGCCACTATAGCCTTGATAGAGGCAAACAACATGGGCACATGCGTGATCAAGGCAAACATGGCCACTATAGCCTTGATAGAGGCAAACAACATGGGCACATGCGTGATCAAGGCAAACATGGCCACTATAGCCTTGATAGAGGCAAACAACATGGGCACATGCGTGATCAAGGCAAACATGGCCACTATAGCCTTGATAGAGGCAAACAACATGGGCACATGCGTGATCAAGGCAAACATGGCCACTATAGCCTTGATAGAGGCAAACAACAACACGGGCACATGCGTGATGAATGTACACAACATGTTATTTTTAGCGTTTCCGGTTCTGTAATCCGCTTACAAGGGACATCCGGGAGAGGCAGGCAGCAGGATGGCCGACGACTCCTTGGAATATCAAGAAACTTGAGCTCAGGGGCAATTACCAGCAGATTGTCACACCAACCAGCTTTCCCTTGGACCATCCCAGATTCGCGAAGCCGTTACGCGAGTACTTACGAACGTGTACATCTTTTCTCAATCTTTGACGGCTTTGGTTATATTTATTAAACAGTT